AAATAACATTCACAACTTCTATAGTTTCTATCACCAATTAGACTTTTGTAAATATTTAACGATTTCTATAAATATTTAACAGTTCCAAGTTTTACAGCAAAAACCAAAAATCTCTGCAGCCAAAAATCTACCGTAAAAATATTTAGTAATAGCCATTACGAAGCAGTCTCATAAGTAATGTATGTTTTAGCCAAACTCCATTAGTAAATGTATGAATTGACACATCTCTATAATTCATGTTTGCATCGTAATTCCAGGACATAATATATCAATTAGCCAATGTTCAAGAAAGCGCTAGGCGCTAAGCGGACGGTGGTGACCCAACGCCTAGTGCTAGAACGCCTAATCGGAGCCTAGGCAACTTAATAGGCGGTTTAAACGTTTTACAAAAATACATAATATATTAAATATATATAGTAAAATATATATAAAAAACATAATTTATGAATAAAAAAATTTATATTGTATTTATACTGTACCAAATATATAGAATATTACGATTTATATATAAGAAAAAATATATTATTTTATTATTATAATACCATAATATTTTAGACGGTAAAAACGCTAGTCGCCACGGTTTATAGGGGCCTAGCGTCTAAGCGCCGCCTAATCGAATGCCTAGAACGCTTTTTAGAACACTGAATTAGCCGTTTTCTCGTTTTGGAAACAGTTTCACAGGCAGAATAAAAACGGTGGCATGGTTTGATAGCTATATATCCAAAACAAGTTTGGATCATGTTGTACTATTTTTTTTTTTTGGGATCCAAACCCAATTTATTTCACCAATATAATAAAATGTGAGCGAACTTAGAAATTTCCAATTACTTGCTAGTTCGAAATCCCATGTGAAGCCTGGAAAAAGTGGTCAATTGACCATTTTCATAACACTAGAGAAAACTATGAAAATACACTAAAGTAGTCTCCCAACTTTATACAGGAACTTGTAACAAACAAAAATGTCTCACTTGCTTCGATCGACGAAAGACTTGTTAGGTTAAGCAAACAGAACAAATTCTAAGTAGCAGAGACAACACCAGTAGGGATAGATCCTGAAAAATCCGTCGTAAATATTGAAGATCTTTCTCTAAGTACCATTACAAAAAGACTTGTATAAATAAAAAGCCACAAAACAAGGACTAGCC